CTGACAGAACAATCAAGGCCAACCGCTCAGATATTGTTATTAAAGACCACAAACAAAAACTGTGCCTCCTTATTGATATGGCAGTCTCTGCTGACTGCAATGTATCTTTGAAGATATTCAAAAAGTTGTCAAAGTACAAGGAGCTTGAAATAGAAATCTCGAAAATGTGGCATATGGGAACATCAACAATCCCTTTTTTAGTTGGAGCCCTAGGACTGGTTGGAAAAGATTGCAGTAGACTAATTGAAGGTATTCCTGGAAGTCCATGCCTCAAGGAGATACAAAAAATTGTTCTGACAAGTACAGCACACACCTTACGAAGGGCTTTATCTATGTAATTTTTTTTTTTTTTTTTGTCAGTGGAAAGTGTCATGACGCCATTTCTAACCTTAGGTCCTTGGGCGGGACCCGGAAAGAAATGTGTAAACGCCAGAAATCAAAGAAAATAAAAATAATAATAATAATAATAATAATAATAATAATAATAATAACCAGACCCGGTTACAGAGATAGGGCCTCTAACAATTTAAGTAGACTTTACAATACACACAGTGCTAACAATCAAAGCTAATCCCCCAGACATCGTGATCAAAGACCGCAAGTACAGAATATGCTTTCTTATTGACATTCCAGTGCCTGTAGATCGTAATGTATCTCTGAAGATATTAAAAAAAACTATCAAAATACAACGACTTTGAAACGGAGATCTCAAAAATGTGGCACATGAGGACATTAATATTTCCAGTTGTAGTTGGAGCCCTCGGATTGATTAGGTAAAGATTCTGATAAACTCATTGAAGAGATTTCTGGTGGTACATTTTTTGGAAAAATACAAAACAATTGCACTCACAAGTACAATTTACACATTAGTAATAGCTTTATCTATGTAAAATGTGTGATCTTTTTTTATGTATTTATTTATTTTTTATAAAAATGATCAGCAGAAAATATCATGAAGCTATTTCTGACCTTAGATCTCTAGTTGGGACCCGGAAGGACATTTGTATTCAATAGAATAATAGTATAATAGTGAAGAAGAAGAAGAAAAAGAAGAAGAAGAAGAAGAAGAAGAAGAAGAAAATATTTTTCTGGCCTTATTTATTCCGACTGACACTTATTTTCCGATAGGTTTTCTGACAGAGTCAGTTGAAGGCATTCCTGGTTTCCCATGTCTTAAAGAAATACAAAAAAAATTGTACTCACAAGGACATCTCACGTGAAACGAATATCTTTATCCATGTATAATGTATGTGATCTTAGGTTTTAGAGAGTATACAAAAATGATGAGTGCAAAATGCCATTAAGTCATTTCTGACCTAAGGTCTCTTTTGGAGACCCGGAAGCAAATGTGTTTACAACAGAATACGAAGGAAATAATAACATTTTTTTTTTTTTTTTTGGTCAGCACAGTACATTTATTGAGCAGTATTAGCGGAAGGGAATTTGTCATTAAGCGATGTGGTGTACTAACATTACAAGAAGGAAAAGTCATCAGGAGATATGGAGTTAAATTACCTGATTGATAGACACTGAAAAACATTGAGGACAGTGACTATAATTAGAAGTAGAAAGAAATCAAGGCGAAATAAATTAAGACATTTTTTCCCAGACAACCGACGCTTCAGATATATTGAATCCATTGCTTGGTCAGCTGCTAAGAAAGTTGTTTCACTGTGTCGTGCGAGATAATTTTCTCTCCAGAATCCATTTTACATATCTATAAGTCTACCATTCGTGTGTGCTTAGAATATTGCTGTGACATATGGTCTGGTGCCCCTGCTATTTACCTTGAGCTCTTTCATAAAATCCAAAGAAGAATCAGCAATATTAATGGTCCCGCTCTGGCGACTCGGCTTCAATCAATTCCCACCGCCCAACGGTTGCCTCTCCGTGTCTTTTCTACAAATAATTTCATAGTAATTGTTCGAATGAACTCTTCGCTAAGGATTGGGGGTGGGTATTACTAACATCATTTTATTTAGTTTCTTGTATATAGTTTTTGTTTTCGTATTGTAAGTACACATTGGGGTTCAGATTTTCATTGTTGTTTTTACACCCCATTCCCCCTACAAACAATGAATTTTTACATATATGGACTAGTTAGGACGTTCATAGAGACAATGAGGTATTATGGTGGGTGTAGTAAGAAAGGTAAGTAAGAATGTGTTGTTTTGGTGTTAGGAATATTGTGGTATGTTTGGGTCAGTGTTTGTGGCTAGCTAAGTTTAACGTTAAGACAGAACAAGACCGTCCTTTTTCCCCATTCCCCATTTTTGGTCTTGTGCCTCATTTTCTGTATTGAAGCGAAAATAAATATCGCCCTTTGCTATGGTTCCTAGACTTTTTTTGAATTTAAACGCATTACTAAACTGGCGTCGAAATCTCATCAATTTACAGTTGGGCTAGATAAATATAGCCGTAAGTCCTATGCTAACAGTTTCTTTTCTCGCACCTCTAGCTTGTGCATACATGCTTTCCAGACCACTTTAATTTGCAATAATTTAAATGCTATGTGAATCGCTATCTAATGTCTTCCTGATTACTCATTTTTCTTCCTACTCATTATTAATGTTCCTGTTCCTAATTATTTCACACCGTGTAAACCGTTAGTGGATTTACTGGCTTGCATGGGGTGATCTCGATTTTTTAAAAAATAAAAAGATGACTGCTTAAGCCCACCAGATATGTCATGCGTTGCATTCCCTTGTCCCTTTTCCCCTTTATTCGACCTGTGAGTATCAGATTCTCTAGGCCCTCCTTTCTCATTACGTGTCCCAGAAATTTCATTTGCCTCTTCCTTATGTTAATTTTATCTATGGGCGTTTTTTTTTTTTTTTTTTTTTTTTCAAAACTGTTCACTGGAAAATGTCATGATGCCATTTCTGACCTTAGGTCTCTGGTCGGGACCCGGAAAGAAATGAGTACACACCAGAAACGAAAAAATAAAATAATAATAATAATAATAATAACAACACATTTTTAACCGGTGCAAAAAAATGATGAAAAATGAAAATATAATAAATATAAAAATGAAAAATATAAGTCCTTAAAAGTCTCAATTCAAAATTATATTAATAGAATCAAGAATAAGCTATAAACATATGAGCTGTGTCAGTTTTTCTGATACGGGGCTGATTTACTGCAATAGACGAGATAAGAAAAGTGGAACTTAGAACAAAGGTTAAGGATTACAATGTTTAAAACCTCAATCTGAAAAATGGTGCGCACAGAATTTACCTACTTTGGAATAAAAGTGGAAAAAGTTTGATATGATGCGAAGACTGAGTTAAAAGTGAAGAAAAACATCTTCGAGGAATTGACGAACTACCATTCCTGGCCGCTGTAGCTGTAGACTGCATAATAGAAATAAATAAATCTCAGATAAAATGTCTAGAAAGGAGATTATAGGAGAAGTGACGCATGGACAATTAATCAGAATTATGGGTAAAAAAACACAAAATTTGATAAAATGGAAACATGGTCACGGATGACGAAAGGAGAACTTATGGAAGGAAAAGAAACCATTGATATATACTGCACAATGGTAAGCGTTGAGAAACAGCTGTGTCAAATATCTCAATGACAAAACTACGGATTCCGCACTGTGTATAATATGCAGAAAAGCAGGAGAGTCTGTGAGTGATATTTTCCCAGTGCGATTAAAAACGGAGACACAACGATACAGGCTGTACTGTACACTGGGAGTTATGCAGTAAATGCAAACCTGAGACAATAGAAAAAGTGGGATGAACATAAACTACTTGCAGTATAGGAAAATGTGTATAAAGCTGCTCTGAAATTTCATCATCTAATATGATAATATAACAAAAGGAAAAGAAGGCCAAGTATTATTATTGTTCAGAAAGAAGACAAACAGATTGGAATCATTGATATAGCGGTAACGATGGACGTAATGGCTGTCGAGAAAGAAAATCAGGTATCAAGATTCGAAGCATGTGATAGCGCGTTTATTGGAGCTTAATTTAGTAGATTTTTTTTCTTTTTTGAAGTCTTTGAAATGTAAGAGAAAAATTAAAGAATGGCTCGGTAAAATTTGGATTCTGATTCAAACTGAGACGCTTCAGAAAACTAATTGGGTCAGACGGAATTCTGAGAAAGGTTTTGTTTATATAGTGAGGTGAAGAAATGACAGGATCCAGGTTCATTTTTTATGACCCTCTTCTAACATATGATCTGCTTGAGAAAAAGATAATAATAATCTGATTATAATTCTTCTTGCGACTTCCGCTTTTATTTAGCACGTCCGTTACGCCCTGCCAATAATGCCTAAATAATGGACTATACACTTTTGGTCGTAAGAAAAGATGGAAATGATATATCAGACACGCTGAGTGGTTTCAAAGTGTTATGGTCCGGTTGCTTGTACCACTGTGATAGTCCAAGGTAGAACCAATAAAGAAGAACTCGAAAACGGATATGGAATAACACAGATATATTACAAACAGGAATATATACAGAGAAGTAGAAAAGTGTTAGTACGAACAATCAGGTTTAGTAGTAACTGTCTGAACACGACTCTGTTTCGGACTGCCTCTGACTCGACTGACTGGCTGGCTCGCTCGCTCTGAATGACTGACAGACTTCTGACGGACCTCACTCCAGACTTCAGACTGAACTCTAGACTTCAAACTGAACTCTAAACTTCAGACGGGACGATATCTAGTCGCCCCCCCTCACTAGGGCACAAGGCCGGTTTAACGTGGGATCTCCGAGCCCGTGAGCTCGGCCAAAAATATGCCCTTTGAACCCGTATAAACGGGTTTAGGGTCGGTTTACCTCCCCGAAAGTGACTCCGCCCTTCGGCGTAGCATTCGTTCGGGTTCCTCCCCGCCCGAAGGCAGAGAGTTCAACCGATCAGCCGGTCGCCCGACTTCGGACTGAACTCTAGACTTCAGACGGGACTCCCTGCTTCCTCTTGAGGCGCAGTATTTATTACGTATGGAATAGTCCATTATGTTATTATGGGTAAGGTCCCATACCACAAAGAAAGAAAGAAAGAAAGAAAGAAAGAAAGAAAGAAAGAAAGAAAGAAAGAAAAGATATTGCCAGTACCTCGTAAATAATGGACAATTACGTTTTGATCACGAGAAAAGCCTAAAGAGACATATCCACGTCCCTGTTCGGTTTCAGTGGGAAAGAAAGAAAAAAAAAAGAAAAGAGAAGAGAAAAGAAGATATTGCCCATACCTCATGACTGTTCTGGACCTTTCCGTTTTGATTACGAGTCACTGTTGGGTTTCAGTGTAGAAAGAAAGAAAGAAAGAAAGAAAGAAAGAAAGAAAGAAAGAAAGAAAGAAACAAGCAAACAAACAAAGAGACAAAGAAAGAAAGAAACAAGTAAACAAACAAAGAGAGAAAGAAAGAAAGAAACAAGCAAACAAACAAAGAGACAAAGAAAGAAAGAAACAAGTAAACAAACAAAGAGAGAAAGAAAGAAAGAAACAAGCAAACAAACAAAGAGAGAAAGAGCCAATACCTCATGACTAGTTCCGGCGATTCCGTTATGATCAGGCGGAAAGCCAGAAAAGACATATCAGAGTCGCTGTTGGGTTTCACTAAAAGGAAAAGAAGAAAAGATAACAGAGGTGCTGATAACGCTCTCGTATGTTTAGCACTTGACTCCCAGAGGCTAATTACAAAATTTGACCTCAAATACCAACATCATAATAGCCAACTTAGGCAAGCAAAATCCTTATTCGTTCATTTTTAGCTTCAATTGAAGTCTTAGCATTGTTTTCCCACTAAAGGTATCGAAGAGAATAAATTTCTATTTATGATTCTTATTGTAATATTCAGTTGAAGTTGGTAAGCTCAAATATTTAACGATACAGAATCTGAAATGTTCAGGCCATCCCAATATTATCCCAATTAATATTGGGGCACAGGGGTTTATACCATCGAACTGTGAGAAAATCGGAATAAAGCCTAGAATCACATGACTTCGGAAATCTGTTGCTTAGTAGTGCCAATATTCTGAAGAAAGTTCTTTCTATATTTCTGAAGAACCAATAATACAAGATCGCTTAAACATGAAAACCGTGCAAACGAGGACAATAATAATAATAATAATAATAATAGTATTATTATTATTATTAGTAGTAGTAGTAGTAGTAGTAGTAGTAGTAGTAAGAAATTAGTATGAACACCATTCAGTGAGGTTACGTAGATAGGAATTTAACAATTTTATGGGTCTTTACAATTTACACAGGCAGAACAATCAAAGCTAATCGCCCAGACATCGTGATTAGAGACCGCAAATAAAAAAAGTGCAGCCTTATTGAAGTCCCCTGCCCATTTGACATGAGAATTGAATGCAAAGACAAAGACAATAACGACAACTACACTGAAATTCTAAATGTTTGTGAAGGACTAGGGAAAAAAAGTAATTATTATACCAATGCTCAATGAAGCGTTGAGGTGCAGAACAAAAAAAAAACATGGAGGAAATCTGGCAGACTTTGGATTGGGATTCGAAAATAGAGTTCATTACAAAAATATTGCCTGCTCGGAACAACTAGGATATTTCGAAAAATGTTAGCTAAATTCTGTCAATGAAACGGACAAATGTTCGGTTTATTTACTTATTTCACGCGTGCTGAGCTAAAAAACATAAATATTTAATAGTTAACACGATATGGAGGAAATAATAATAATAATAATAATAATAATAATCGGAATAAAGCCTAGTATCACATGATTAGTATTGCCAATATTCTTAAGAAGGTTCTTTCTATATTTCTGAAGAACCAATGATACAAGATTGCTTAAACATGAAAACCGTGCAAACGAGGACAATAATAATAATAATAATAGTAAGAAATTGGTATGAACACCACTCAGGCTCGGTTACGTAGATAGGAATGTAACACTTTTATGGGACTTTATAATACACACAGACAGAAGCTAATCGCCCAGACATCGTGATTAGAGACCGCAAACAAAAAAAGTACCTCCTTAGTGATATGGCAGAGCCTGCATAATGCAATGTATCTTTAAAGATCATCAGACAACTATCAAAATGCAAGGACCTTGAAATCTAAATCTAAAAAATATGGCACATGAGGACATTAACAATTCCAGTTGTAGTTGGAGCCCTCGAATTGATTGGAAAAGATTCCAATCGACTCAATGAAGGAATCCCTGCAGCCCATGCCTTAAAAAAAATTGCACTCACAAGTACAGCCCACACCTTTTTTTTCTTTTTATGTGCTGTGTCCCTTCAGGATGATCATGGCTCTCCACTTCCCCCTATCTCCTGTGGCTCTCAATAAGTTTTGTACATCTGCCAGCTCTCCCAGACCACGTTCTGCCATTCACTTGCTCAACCCCGTCATGCCATGCATTGTTTTCCTTGTCTCTTTTTCGCTCTATTAGACTTGTGAGTATCAGATTCTCCAGACCCTCCTTTCTCATTACGTGTCCCAGAAATTTCATTTACCTCTTCCTTATGTTAAGTTTATCTATGGGCGTTTTTTTTTTTTTCAAAACTGTTCAGTGGAAAATGTCATGATGCCATTTCTGAACTTAGGTCGCTGGTCGGGACCCGGAAAGAAATGAGTTATCACCAGAAACGAAAGGAAATAAAATAATAATAATAATAATAATAATAATAATAATAATAATAATATTAATAATAATAATAACAAAACATTTTTAACCGGTGCAAAAAAAGATGAAAAAATGAAAATATAATAAATATAAAAATGAAAAATATAAGTCCTTAAAAGTAAGCAACATATATATTTTAGTTCGTAGCATCGACATTAACAATCCAAATGGGTGTCAGGCTCACGAATAAACACTAGAATCGAGATTAGTTGAGCATGAAACACCATTTGAATGTATTTCTCTGACTCGTCATGCGTCTGTCAAACAAATTTCCTCTTTGCGTGTTTATAAAAATCAAAGGCACACTCTTTGCCGGTGTGGCGTTAAGCAAATGATTTTTGAAAAATAGTAGAAAATTGCAGTAAGCCTTTCTTTGGCGTTTCAGTTGAATAAACTCTTTACTGTATCTCTGAACATCGCAAAACTCTTTACATAAACCTCTCTATTTAAGTTGGTTTTCTGATTAATATGAAAAAGTAATTGTTAACAGTCTGTTATATGCCATACGTGATACACGCTTAGGCGATCATGTATCTTTCTATACATGACTGACGAGGCTGATTTTTTCCTGCAGTAGGTTGCCATTTCTTTTTGCGGTAGACCAGTTGCCATCCAAGGCTATAGAAGCCGGCCTGTCCAGCTACGTACCCATAGCTGGGCGGAGAAGAAGAGGATTCATACCTTTCTCAAGGGTCAGTCAGTCAGTCATGTGCCATGCGTGATACACGCTTAGGCGATCATATATCTTTCAATACATGACTGACGAGGCAGATTTTTTCCCGCAGTAGGTTGCCATTTCTTTCTGCGGTAGACCAGTTGCCATCCAAGGCTATAGAACCCAGTCTGCCCTGCTATTTACCCATAGCTGGAGGGAGAAAAAGAGGTTCCATACCATTCCCAAGGGTATCAGCACGTAAGTGAATGTAATGGATTCAACTGGAATTCGAACTCGGCTCTCCGATTCTGCAATCCACTATCCATTACTCCACCGTGCTTCTAATAATAACATCACTTATTTTCTATTCGTTTCCAATATACTTCTCTTTTTCGGGCAGAAACGTTTCCGGATATTTCTGTTTCAGTTACCTCCCTTCTCCAAGTTTTTGTTCACATCTGCTGTGGCCAGGTATTGAACCCACAACACTTTGGGTCAAGTCACTGAATTACTTCAAGCAATGGTTTTATTTCAGTCAGTCAGCCAGTTATGTGCCATAAGTGATATACTCTTAGGCGATCATGTATCTTTCGATGCATGATTGACGAGGCAGATTTACCCGCAGTAGGTTGCCATTTCTACCTCAGTAGACCAATTGCCATCCAAGGCTATAGAACCCGGTTTCTCCTGCTGGGGAGAGAAGGAGACGATTCATACCATTCGCAATCACGTAAGAGAATGGAATGGATTTGACTGGAATTCGAACTCGGCTCATTGAATCCTCAATCCAAGCCACTATCCATTACTCCACCGAAATATAAGCAATTCAGTATCCGTTTGAAAAATCGAAACATAACATCTCTATCTTTAATTCTCTTTGCCTCTTCCAATGAGGCTATATGTCTATTTTTCCTTCTCGCCTATGGAGTGTGACTATCCCCACAAAGAGATTGGAAGAAATGTCTAAAATTGATAAAAACGAGAAAGAAAATTCTGAGAATATAAAAAACGGAAGAGAATGAAAAAAACGGAATATTTTGTTTTGCCTTTGAAAAAAAAACAAAAAAAGACAAGAGAAAATTGCTTTTGGAAGAGTTGAAGGGGAACGTGTAAATAAATAATATTGTGAACGGTTAGTCCTCTCCGTTTCAGTTTAATGATCTGCTACTTCTAACCACAAGAGTTATAAAAAAAAAAAACACTGTCAGCCGTAAAGGTTCCAGATCTTTAAAGATTCCTTTATTAATCGAATTTTGCCAAGCAACGGTCATAGATCGATTTCTCTTCAACTTGAGCGTATCGGGAAAATAAAACCCGATCGAACGAAATTCAGGCATTGGTTGCAACTGTTAAATTTGGATGAATAATCAGCAACTTATAATGTATATTGCAAACGTCATCGGGAATATATGATTATAAATATAACCAGAATAAGTTAAGTAATAGGTGAAGGAGGAGGCACGGTGGAGTAATGGGTAGCGGCGGAATCGGAGAGCCGAGTTCGAATTCCAGTCAAATCTGTTAAATTCATTTATGTGCTAATACCCTTGGGAAAGGTATGAATTCTATTCTTCTACCCACAGATATGAGTAAATAGCAGGACAGAACGGGTTCTATAGCCTTGGATTAAAACTGGTCTACATCAGAAAGAAATGGCAATCTACTACGGGAAAAAATCTGCCCTGTCAGTCATGTATCGAAAGATAGATGATCGCCTAAGATGACTGAATTAGGTGTAAGGCAAGCACTAAATCGAATCCAACCAACACGGAGCCTGTTAAAAAGGAAGACAAGAAAGAAAAGTAAGAAACAGATTCCTGCTACCTGAACGTGAAGGCACGAGTGAGTAATGGATTACGACTCGGATTGAGGCATTGGAGTGCCGTGTTCCAATTCTAGTCGAGTTCATTACATTCACTTACGTGCTAATACCCTTGGGAAAGCTATAGCAACTAGCAGGAAAACACTGGGTCCTTTACCCGTGGATGGCAAGCAATCGATGAGACGGGAAAAAAAACTCTGAATACCAAACCATCCCGGTTTAAACTACTCCTGCCTTATAGGTCCTGCCTATTTAGTCGAAAAAACTGCCCTCCGCCACTTGGAACCGTGAGAGAAAATAACGGAATCCTCGAGCGTAATACAATGGTTCGAGGTACGGGACACGGCACGGCGCCATTCGCCCTTGCATGTGTTACCTATAGCACTTTAGACGACAACTATTAGGTAGGTGCAAAAATAATGACGTAATAATGTCGTTTTTTGACGTATTTTTAACGTCAAAAAACGACATTATTACGTCATTATTTTTGCACCAACCTAATACTTAAGAAAAGCACTTCCAGAAACTAGTAATGGAAATCCAAACCTAATGTAATGGAATAGCCAGTCACCCCCATGAATAATTACACTATAGTTAGTAAGTATCTCTAAAGTCAAGCGTCTATTAGTTACACTCACTACTAGATTGAGCTGTGTGTATAACTGTAGCGTATTTCATATTGTACTTGTTGTGTAAAATAAACCTTTCTTCTAGTATCCACCTGGTGTTATGTGTTTATTCCCTTAGCACGGATCTAAAACCATATCTCTGAGTTACATGATAATCCTGATCTTCAGATGATCAGGATAAATATAAATTACTCTGAACGTTATAGTCTAGTAGATATATGTATTTGAGTAAATGTCCAGCTTTTTAATCAGTGTGAATCACGTCTATCGGCCTGTATATTGAAGAGACTTCATAAAGAAATTGTGCCCTCCCTGTTAGAAATCTATTAATTGATTATCCCCCGATTAATTCGTTTTCGAATAGTTCGCTAAAAATTTTTATACCAAAATTCGATTAGTGCATACATAACAGTCGCTTAGTGCAATAAAACATTCTTTAATTTAACCATAGTAATTGAAAATTGATTTTTTTTTATTGTTATCGATTAATTAAAAGTTTTCGAAAAAATAAAAATGGAAAATGTGTAACTATTTTGTTTATCAAGTATTACGCTAAGTAATTACAGTCGTTTTAAAATGGACGGTTATAAAAAGATACAGTTTATAATATAAGCTGATAATAAAAAAACTTCTTTCAACATTTGTCTCTATTAGAATTTTTTGAATATTTTGATTATTTTTTCATGTTTATTTTGAAGGTCATAAAAGAAAATTTCTGATTTTTTTTTTTGTTAAAAAAAATGGACGATTTAATTAGATACAGAAATTCACATTTATTAAAAAAAATATCGTTGTATAAAAGATATATGCATTTACTATGGAAATATCATAAATAAAATTTTCAGGTGAAAATACTAATGATTATATGTTTTGAAAACTTGAAGGAACAATTTCTCAGTACCGCCAATTATATCAAGAACAGAAGAATAGCATGCGACAAATAACCTCTAAAAAAGTTTTTCATAAAAAAAATCAGCTTATTAAACATTAGTTCATAGCATTTTATTGTATCTTCTTATAAGTTAAAAAGTATTAGAAATTAGAAATTAATTGTGAATGAGACTAAAATTTGAGTGACAAATTACATCATTTCCTATAAGTTATTATATTCAATTAATGCATTTTCGATTCATGTGTATCTTTTAATGTACGCGTTAGCAGCACTAATGGAGGGATTCCTGAACACACACACACACACACACACACACACACACACACACATATATATATATATATTGATGCATGTTTCATTAAATAATATAGACAAGTTTTGTCTATTTATTTTATGTAAATTCCTTTCATATCGTCTGATAAGCTTAATAACATTATCATTGAAAAACAAAAGGAAATCACCATACTGATACATGTTTTTTTAATCCTATCTAAGCTTTCGGCTTACATAAACCATCATCAAAGATGACAATTACATTACAATATATTAAACAATACACGAACAGCACAATAATGATAGTCTGTTTTTGTTTGCATAGAAGATTTTCAAGCAACGACAAACTCGTGCATCCGAGACGCTGGAACCGAAAATCGCACCGCAGCTCATGGACATTACACATGAACACGCCAGAGTGAAAACGAGAAGTATTAAGTATGGGAAGCCGTTGGTATAAACCAACGGCTTTTGTTATCAATTATAGGCATTTAAGAATATTTGTAGGAAGCTTAGATAGGATTAAAAAATATGTATCAATATGGTGATTTTATTTCGTCTTTTTATGATAATTTATTCAGCTTATCAGATGATATGAAAAGAATTTACATGAAATAAATAAACAAAACTTGTCTATATTATTTAATGAAACATACATCAATGAAAAACGCTGACTAAATACACACAATATATATATATGTGTGTGTGTCTGTGTATGTGTATGCGTGTGTGTGTGTGTGAAAGTGTTTTTTTTATTAGGCAGATGCGATAGTCGCTCCAAAAATAATGCCTTCTATTTTATTATTCTAACCTATGACGTTAGAGATGGATACTGACAGTATGAGAGTGCATACTGAATCTTCGAGCCAAAAATCCGTTGTTTATATATACAAGAATCCCTCGATTAGTGTGACTAATGTGTACATTAAAAGATACGCACTAATCGAAAACGCATTAATCGAATATATTGACTAGATGAAGTAGAGCCTTGAAGCAACAGAAATGTGGTTATACTGAAGGATACTGAGAATTCCATGGATTTAACATGTCAGCAACGACGAAGCTTTAAAGAAAATGGAAACAAAAAGGGCACTTATACTTAACATCAAGTGCAGAGAGTTGAAATATCTAGAGCACATTATAAAGAAAGAGAGCTCGGAAAATCTGATACCCACAGGACAGATTGAAGGCGGGGAGGACAGAATAAAACAACGTATAACATACCTAGCGAGCTTGTGCAAATGGATGGCGGAACAAGGTTTGGGAGAGATAATAAAATTTATTAAGAGCTAGTAAGGACATGAAATTGTGGAGAGCCATGATCGCCAACGTCCTAAAGGAACACAGTACATAGAAGAATGTATATATATTCGCATATTTACATTGACATAACTTTCTTTCACACAAGTCAACTCGAGTGAAATATCGACTAAGGATCGTATTTGTTTGAAAACGACCTGTGAGATGGAGTATTGGATAGTGGCTCGGATTGAGGAATCGGAGAGCCGAGTTCGAATTCCAGTCGAATCCATTATTTTCACTTACGTGCCAATACCCTTGTAAAAGGTATGAATCCTCTTCTTCTCCCATGGGTAAATAGTAGGATAGACCGAGTTCTATAGCCTTGGATGGCAAATGGTCTACAGCAAAAAGAAATGGCAAAAATCTGCCTCGTCAGTCATGTATTGAATGATACATGATCGTGTAAGCGTGTATCACGCATGGCATATAACTGACTAACTGACCCTTGAGAAAGGTATGAGTTCTCTTCTTCTCAGTCCAGTTATGTGTAAGAAGCAGGACAAACATGGTTCTATAGCTTTGGACGGCAAGTGGTCTACCGCAGAAAGAAATGGCAACCTACTGCGGGGAAAAAACTAACTCGCCAGTCATGTATTGATAGATACATGATCGCGTAAGCGTGCATCACGTATGGCACATAACTGACTGAGACAGGCTTGCTAAATATTTATTATAGGACAGATCCACATAAAACTAATGATATTTTATGTGTCATTCCTTTTAGGATTTAGACGACCATGGATCTCTTCACTTTCTTATCCTTTGTGACACTAACCAAGGTGTGTCTCCTTGTTCTCTATCACTGTTCTACTATCCATTTACACATCCTCGTTAGCTAGATTATTCGCCTTTTTATCCCTGCCACTTTTGCTTTCTGTATGTCCTGTGAGTATCAAAGTCTCCAAACCCACTTTCCTCATTATGGATCCTAGAAATTTTAACTAGCAAAATGTTCGTTTTACTTACTATTAGGCTGGTGCAAAAATAATGACGTAATAATGTCGTTTTTTGACGTATTTTTTAACGTCAAAAAACGACATTCTTACGTCATTATTTTTGCACCAACCTAATACTTAGCTTAGTCTCTAGAAGGCATCTTTCGCTATACCAATGTATTTTTGGATTTCCTTGTCACCTTTTCTGTCATCCGTTAAAACACCAGTTAAAATTCTGTAGTTGCTTTATTTTGACGTCTCCATTGTGTCTCTCGCATCTTTCCCATTTGCTAATGGCCAAACATTCTGTCTTCGTAAAATTGATGGATATTTCTTTTATAGAATTTCTATAATAAATGCATTCATGTTAATATCGATTAAGTTTAATTCAGAGAGGGTCATCTTTAAAGTAGTTGGATGGAGAAAGTAAGAATCGAACTCACAATCGACTTAACAGACAGGCGTGCGAAATGTCGCTCAAATATAGGTCGCTTCTCCGTGTGTATGTGTATGAGAAAGACAGTCAAAGGTAAGTATTTACAGATTTAATGCTATGTGGAACCGTGAAACCTCCTATAACTCACTATCTGTGGTTATTTTAGCCCGATGTGTTGACAGCCTTTATATTCCAGTGGAGCGATTTTTTCCCGCGTGAATAGGGCTGAGTTTCAACGATTTATCCGAGATAATCAATATTTTTCGATTCGCATGTAACATAAAGAACAACAAAATAAGAAAAGGCTAGGAACCTTGTGACGATTAAAGTGCTTTCAATATTGCGTACAGCCACAGTTCAATCAGTGGTTTTGCTTCTGGCTGTATTGAACATTTTATTGTGGAAAATATATTTATTTAATGTAAACAAAAGATGAAGAACGGGATAAATAATCGAGGCGAGAAAATGAAAGAATCAGAAACGGAGTGGAAGTGGCAAAAAGAGCAAGGAATGCAAGAAGAAAACATGCGAATGCTTCAGAGAGCTATCACTTTCAAAGAGATAAATAGATAGATAGATAGATAGATAGATAGATAGATAGATAGATAGATAGAAAGAAACTAAAACTGATTAGATAGATAGATAGATTAAATAGATAGATAGAAAGATAGATAGATAGAAAAAACGAAATAGAAAGTAAGTAATAAACTTAAATAGATAGATAGAAAGAAAGAAAGAAAGAAAAAACGAAATAGAATGAAATAGAAAGTAATAGACTTAATTAGATAGATAGATAGATAGATAGATAGATAGATAGAAAGAAATAGACAGATAGAAAGTAATAGAGCTAATTAAATAGATAGATAGATAGATAGATAGATAGATAGATAGATAGATAGATAGATACTAAAAGACTAAGATAGATAGATAGATAGATAGATAGATAGATAGATAGATAGAAGATAGATAGATATAGAAAAAAAGACTAAGATAGATAGATAGATAGATAGAAAAGAAATAGAGATAGAGATAGAAAGAAAGTAATAGACTTAATTAGATAGATAGATAGATAGATAGATAGATAGATAGATAGATAGATAGATAGATAGAAATAGACATATAGAAAGTAATAGAGCTAATTAAATAGATAGATAGATAGATAGATAGATAGATAGATACTAAAATAGATGAAAGATAGATAGATAGATAGATAGATAGATAGATAGATAGATAGATAGATAGATAGATAGATAGACACGAAAAAACTAAGATAGATAGATACTAAAAGACTAAGATAGATAGATAGATAGATAGATACTAAAAGACTAAGATAGATACTAAAAGAATAAGATAGATACTAAAAGAATTAGATAGATAGATAGATAGATAGATAGATAGATAGATAGATAGATAGATAGATAGGAACTGAGCATGTGAGTGAAAGGGTAAAAAAGTAAACTAAATGAATGATGGCACACAGATTGGCAAACTAGTTCACATTCCTTCAGTATTCAATGATTGAAGAGGCGATGTTTGGAAAGAGAAAACAAGAGAATGTGCTTAATAAGAAGAGAAGGAAAAAGAAAAGAAAATCTAATCAATCTTTATTAGGTGATCCATTCACAAAGTGATAAAAGATGTGAAAAAGATATGATAAAGATGTGGTTTGAAAGATGAAAAAGATGTAATGAAAGACCTCATCAGGAAGGTAGAAAAGATGTCGGAAAATTATGAGCAGAAAAGTAACAAAAAAGCGATAACTGTGTCGCGAAAATTGATAAAGATATTATAAAAGACGTAATTCAAAATGTGCTAAAAGTTGTGATCCGGAAGATAATAAAAGAGGTGATAAAACATTTGATCTGGAATGTGAGAAAAAATGTGATAAAATATTATTCGGACTGTGGTGACAGATATGATAAAAGATGTGCTTAGGAAACTGATAAAAGACGATAAAAAAAAACCATAAAAAAGGTGCTTCGGGATGTCATAAAAGACTTCATAAAAGCCGAAGAGATATAAAAAAAAACATTGAAAAGAAACAAAATGAAAAGAAGAATAAAGAAAATAAGGAAGAAAAAAAGAAAAGCATACAAACAAAGAATTACGTAAGTTTCTTTTCTCAGTTGTATTATGTCAGCGTATTGCTAATTATTGTAGAATCTTTTACTATGAATAAAAAGAAAGTTATAAAAAGAGAAAAAAGGATCAAACAAATCTCTATCTATAAAAGGCAGGACGTGTGTGTGTGTGTGTGTAACGAATGCACGGCCGAAATTTTCGACGGATTTGCACCAAAATTTACATGCACATGCTCCAAGTAAGCGGGAAGGCCAAGACCGAGATTGCATTTACCAACTCCCATCGATAGTGAAAATAATCGATTTTTTTATGCTTCTACGGCAATTTTCATGTAGTTTGCGGCCATTTTGTACTGGCCAGAGAGAGCCTATAGCTGGCTGCCACGAATAGGCAGGAAAATTCTATTGGCCAGCGTGAGAGCCAACAGCTGACTGACACGAATGTTAAATAGCATGCTAGCATGCAAAAAAATTGATAGCTGCATTCATCACAAGTGGAAAAAAAATTAAATCTGCATGGCACTTTACTCCAATTGGCTCATTCGCTTGCTTAAACTCAACGTTGATTCTGATTCCGCAGAACTGAGTTGGATGTGAAAAGAATTTGTTGTTAACATTCTTTTTTATTCGGTTTTCCAGTTACGAGTCCTTTTTAAAGCTGATCGTTTTGTGTTCATTTTGTTTAGTTCTTTTTTCGTAACAGATTTAATGTTTAGTATAGAGCTTAGAAAAAATCGCAGTGTGAGATAGGCAAGAAGTAAGGCATGTAGCAACATCAGCACGGCAAAGGGCACTCCTTTAAAGGCAAGGAAGGGCAAAAATATTTTAAGTCAAGTGATAGCGATTGCTGTATGAGTCGTACGATTTTTGAATCAAGCACGGGCAACACCGGGCCATGCTGCTAGTAAGAAATAATAATGAATTTAAAAGGGGAGGAAGAGGAAGACAAGTAAATCGTTAGACAAGCCAATATAATAACTCGTATTTTTATTTTATTAATGTATATATATTCATTATTATTTTTTTTCTTCTTAAAAAAAATCGTATTGGCCTCATGTAGGAAAATCAGTACAACCAGGCATATCCGATTTATAACATCAAATAGTCAAAGTGTGGACTTGATTAGTTGCCGATTTCTGGGGGAATTTATATAAAACACGCCCTAAAGATAGTAGCAAATTTGCTCTGGGTGCGGGCCGAATACTGAGCGTATTCGGTCGGGTCGCCCATTGAAGAAGTCTGTTGTTTAAATAGACCCGAAACTTCTAGTGACATGGGAGCAATAACACTGATGACGCACCTAGAGTCGGCGCTTAAAGGTGTAATTTTAGCAGTAAAGGCGTCCTTGCCCAAAGAATGAGTCGTGAATCTGATTAGCTAGTTTATAGGATACATAGTGTCGAATATCTTTGGTAACAAAGAAAAAAATACTGAACTGGCATTTGTCCTTCTTTACGACAGCAAATGTTGGACGACTTGCTAAAAGATGAAGAGACTCGGGGTGACAGAGATGTGGTTCTACAGAAGGATGCTAAGGATCGAGCGTGTGAGTAACGATGGGGTCTTAGAGAGTTTGCAAACAAGGAGGGGGCTTATGAGGAAGGAGGGTCTGGAGAATCTGATACTCACGGGTCGAATATCGGCAAAGAGAGACAAGTGAAAACAACGCGTGACATACCTGGCAGATTTGGGCATGTGGATAACAGAACGTGGTCTGGGGGGAGGAAGCAGAGGGAAGGAACTTGTTGAGAGCTGCAAGGGATAGAAGGAGGTGGAGAGCCATGATCGCCTACGTCCTGAAAGGACATGGCACATAAAAAGAAAAGATGTGTTGATCAGCCTCAACCCATTTCCCCTTTTTTTTGCCCTTGTGCCACAATTTCTGTCTTTAAAACAGAAATAAATATCTATTGGAGTCCTTGTCCAATCAAATCACAGATTCCTTTGCCATTACAGTTTAACCCCCCCCCCCAAACTGTCGTTTTTTGTCGTAGCCTTCACTACATTCTGGCATTTTTTCCTTCTTCTAGATTGGTTTTCCTAAGAGGGCTAGAATGAATACAGCTAACGAAAAGAGATCATATGGATATTTGCCTTTACCAAGAATCGTGAACAGAATAGATTCAGCTAAAATTTGAACTTCGTTTGAAGTTTGTTGTAGTGTGATGGACATCAGCTCAGAGTGAGAAATCGGAGAGCTGAGTTCGAATTACAGTCAAGTTCTTAACATTCACTTGCGTAGAAATACCCTTCGCCAAGGTATAAACCCATCTCTTCTCCTCACCTCACCTCACCCACAGCTATGCCGAACTGACGGAGTTCTTTAGCTTTGGTTGGCAACCGGTCTACCCCCAAAATTGTAACGTGCTACGGGGAAATCTTCTGCCTAGTCGGCCAAGAATCGAAAGAGACAAGAGTATATCATGGCACTTAACTGATTGAATGATGTCATTATTTGCACTAAACTATTGGTACATCCTCTAGTTAAAGAGGGAAAACAATAAAGAGTGTAAAATAGAGAGAGAAAGAGTGATGAATAGAAACGGGAGTAAAGAAGAAGAAAGCAAGTGGCAATGAGGAAAGAAGGTCAAGTGAAATAAGGCTGAAGAGAAACATTTTAACAAGGGAAAAGAAAGAATAGGCATAAATGCGAGGGAAAGAGCAAGAAAGAGAGACAAGCAAAAGAAAGACGAAGATCAGTTTTATATGAATTGCATATCAACTAAACGTTTAATTTCTTATTTTCTCAAATCCGACATTAGACTTTATAATAAATATTCTCTAACACATTTGAAAACTGCTCGTAAGCCTTTATAAAACCATTGCATTTGTAACGCCTTTCACAGAATCGCGCATGCGCAAATGATGGAAATCCATCGAGACAGACGCCTGCACGTTCACTCAAGTTCACACTCACCAGCAATCATATTTATGTGTGTGTGCGGGGGTGGGGGTTTGTGTGCACGGAGTGCTCTCCTAAAAGTACGAATACTGGGGGAAAAAAATCGATCAATTTACACGTATCTCTGCGTACCTACCTGAAAATCACTCCACCTTCATATAACTTTATTTTAAAAGCCATTTTGTGTCTCAAGTTTGCAAGACATCTGTATTTTATCTCTTTTTTCTCTCTATCCCCCTCCCCCTCCCTCTCTCTCTCTCTCTCTCTTGTCTCTCTTCTCTCTCTCTCTCTTGTCTGAACTAAAGAAATCCTGGATTTTGAATAATCACCTAAAAATTAAAGGCAGCCTGCTTTATTCAAAACTAATTTGCTAACTCACTTCGGGCCAGAGGGACTATCTCTTCCCGTAGAGTTTAATCATATATTTAATAATAATAATAATAATAATAATTTAATAATAATAATAAATAATTTAATAATAATAATAATTAATAATAATAACGGCAGCAAGATAAGCCTCTTGATTTCTTTTTTTTTTTTTTAACAGTAAGGTTAACCCTTTACAAGGCCCGGAGGCCACTCAAGGTAAGACGTTATGTTAAGAGGCATTTAGTACGTATATAAGTGGAAGAAAACCCTTGAACAGGTTAAGATTTTTGCTATCGGGAAAACATCCTCTTGGGAGTCCGTTCCGCGGGGCAGAGGTTCGCAGAAAGAAGCTGTTTGAGTGGAAATTACCTTTGGAATACGGTGGGAATGTGGGTGGTTTGTTACTATGTAAGTGGCGTGTTCTTGCCGTGAAGGTTTGAATCCCGTAGCAAACAAGCTGATGTAGACAAACCCCATACCCATCAGTGGCTATGTACCGCAGCATTAAAAGCTGAAACCAAAGGTTTTATTCTTGATGCACAGGATCAATGCTTAATAACTAGAAATTACCAAGTAAGCATACTGAAAAACTGTGTTAACGCGAAATGCAGATTCTGTGATAAATATCCAGAGACAATTGAACATCTTGTATCAGGTTGCACTCTGTTACTACCTACCGAATATAAAAGCCCGCATGATAGAGTGGGTCAATATCTGCACTAGAAAATATGCAATTTTTACGGGAATAATACTGTAAGAAACTGCTATGAACATCACGCAGCATCAGTAACGTAGATGGGACACCTAACAATTTTATGGCACTTTACAATACACACAGGCAAAACAAACAAAGCTAATCGACAGACAACATGATCAAATACCATAAAACGGATTGTGCTTTCTTATTGACATGGCAGCCACGAAATTGTAGCATAATGGAGACATCAGTAATTCCAGTTGTTGATGGAGGACTCGGATTGATTCGAAAAGGTTCTGATAAACTGATTGAACGGATTCCTGGTAGCCCATGTCTTTAAAAATGTATTTTAAGTTAGGCACGCATAAGAGATTCTTTAACATATACGTAAGTCGCTGAAATAATCAGTAATATTGGAGAGACAATAAATGAATGCAATTAGCTGTGGGCAAATATCACTTAAATTAATCAAAAATTAAACACTACTACTTAATTACAATTGCAACAAGTACATATGAACACGAAAGCTTAATAATAATAGTAACAATAAGCACACATATTGAAAAATTGTGTTAATCCGAAATGTAGATTCTGTGATAAATATCCAGGAACAATTCACCATTTTGTATCAGGTTTCACGGTGTTAGCATACACTGAAGATAAAAATCTGCATGATAGAGTGGGCCAGTATCTGCAGTGGAAACTATGCAATTTTTACGGGTAGGAAACTGAAAGAAACTGGTATGAACACCACCCAGACCCAGTGACGGAGATAGGACGTGTAACAATTTTATGGGACTTTACAATGCACACAGGCAGAACAATCAAAGCCAACCACCCAGGCATCGTTATCAAAGAACATAAAAACGGACTGTGCTGTTTTATTGACATTGCAGTCTTAGAAAATGTGGCATAATGACAATATAAATAACTCCAGTTGTATCTGGAGCCCTTGGATCGACTGGAAAACGTTCCGATAGATTCAATGAAGGGGCTCCTGGTAGCTCATATCTTAAGGAAATACAAAAAATTGCACTCACAAGTACAATTCTTACGAAGGGCTTTATCTATGTAAAATATGGGTGATCTTGGTATTTTTTTGTTTTGTTTTTTTTGTTTTTTGTTTTTTACAAAACTGATCAGTGGAAAATGTAATGAATTATTTCTCACCTTAGGTCTCCGGTTGGGATCCAGAAGGAAATTTGTATACGACAGAAATTAAAAAAAAAAGAAGAAATCCACAGATCATCTGATCTCAGGATGTTCGGTATCGTCACGATAGAGTTGGGCAATACTTAAACTGGACAATGTGTAAACACTTTGGAAAAGATGTTAATAAACACTGGTATGAACATCACCCAGCAACGGTTACAGAACTAGAACACATTACAATTCTATGAGATTACACCATCTTTACAGGCAGGAAAATTGAAGCAAATAGGCCGGACATAATTGTCAAAAACCGAAAAAAGAAAAATTGCCTACTTAGTGATATGCCATGCCCAGCGGAATGTAACATAGAAACCACGGTATCTAAAAAAAAGTATAAAACCTGCAAATCGAAAAAAATATGGAAATTGACAGCAAGAATAGTACCAGTCATAGTAGGTGCGCTTGAAATTATAAAAAAGGAACACAACAACGCAATGAAAATATATCCTGGAAATTCCAGCTTAAGAGAAATACAAAAAATAACCTTGATAAGTACAGGCCACTAATAAGAACTTTGTCTATGTAACGCTAGTGATGTTATGGTAACTGGAAAAACAAATAATCAAATGTAGCCATAAAACACGCTACTACCTCCCTTACGTCTTCACGCACACCTGCTAGATAGTGGGACCATAGCAAAAATCGACATGTAATAATTATAATAATTATTATTATTATTAATAATTATTAATAATAATAATAAACACAATAAACACTGACAGAACAATCAAAGCAAACGGCTCAGATATTGTTATTAAAGACCACAAACAAAAACGGTGCCTCCTTATTGATATGGCAGTCCCTGCCGACTGCAATGTATCTTTGAAGATATTCAAAAAGTTGTCAAAATACAAGGACCTTGAAATAGAAATCTCGAAAATGTGGCATATGAGAACATCAACAATCTCTGTTGTAGTTGGAGCCCTAGGACTGGTTGGAAAAGATTGCAGTAGATTCCTGGAAGTCCATGCCAAGGAGATACAAAAAATTGTTCTGACAAGTACAGCCCACACCTTACGAAGGGCTTTATCTATGTAATTTAATTCTTTTTTTTTTTTTTATCTGTCAATGACGCCATTTCTAACCTTAGGTCCCTGGGCGGGACCCGGAAAGAAATGTGTAAACGCCAGAAATCAAAGAAATAATAATAATAATAATAATAATAATAATAATAATAATAATAATAATAGAGAAATTAACGCATTACTGCATATGGTTTCCTTAAGATTTTATTTCGTGTTGCATAAATTATCTTGCTGGATAATGTTAATCTTAGGGCACGCAGATTAAAAGATTTATATAACTCCCCTCTTTAAAAATTGTAATATTAGCTTAGTATGAGTTAATTAAACCAAAGGAGATATGAAACTAAGTATTAAATCCTGCCAAACTCATTTTTAAAGAGTAGCTTTATAATAAATTAATTCATTATTTTAATTCTTCTAAATTATACAAATTAAACAGAATCAGAAAATTTTCCCCCTCCTTTATTGCTCAAATCCTCTTGTTCAAACATTTTATTTCCCACTAATAAGGATTGGTTGCGACTTTAAGAATCTGACGAATTTAGCGTTCTGGCATCCATGTAAATATTGATATATATCTCTCAATCGTAGTCGGTAATAAAATCACAGAGGGATATGTCACCAAAAAAGTAACAATTTTGGCAAAGAAAAAAAATTATAACTTCGTTTTACGAGTGATATGTTTAGGATAAATGATTCCTTTGTTGCTGATCTTTGAACAAGGCTTATTACTGTCAATAATTTCCATTGCAGAAGGAGGTGTAAAAAGTATTTTCCTTAAGTATTTTGAGCACTGAGATCCGAGATTTCCACAATTCCCGTTGTCTTCAAGGCTTGGGGTACCAAGGATAAGGTTAGAAATAATAGCGTTAGAGTTAACAAAATGCCTACAAAGTAAAGATGCAGAAACAGTGCTAACATTATCCAGATTCTCTTTTTCCTATGAGTTTTACTTGCGACTTTTTCACTGATAGTTTTACCTCGATTCCTCTAGTAGCCCGTGTAAAAGTAAATAGTAACCTCATAAAATCTAGAGTTACCAATTAGTCCTTTAGATATGAATGGAGAATGAATGATAACCGTATTATCCACTGATATCTACTTGATGATATCCACTGATTTTTTAAGGAAACATTAGTTGATGATGACCAGCGTTTAAGGATTAAACAATGGATTAGTTTGATGAAGTAAATATATTCGACAAAGTAGAACGTTTTCATTTCTTGGCCATATATGAAATTAGGTTTAATTTGCGAAAAAGCCTGTTACGATACAGTTGAATACCTTAAGACGTCTGTTCTCTTTAAACTATTTTCCTGTTTTCCTCGATTCCGTTTGATTGATTGCGTTCGACTTTTTATAATCAGCAGACTATCGATCAACTGCTAATGACCAAGTTATCCATCAACATCGTGCTTAAAGAGTAAAGCACTAGAAAAC